AGGCAATTAACTTCTATAAAGATAAAAAACTTTGCTTTGCTTATGGTTCTGAAGATTATAGTCCAAGGTTATACAGCTTCATGGTTTTGGGTCTCTGACAAGGGTAACACATCATGGCAAGAGCTTGTGGCAGAGCAAACTGCTTAGCTTATCAGCTAAGTGAAGTACAAGACAGGGAGGGACCAGAGGCCCCTTGAAGGGCATGCTCCCAATGACCTATCTTCCAATAGGCCCTACCTCCTATAAAGTTCCCCAGCACAGTTCCCAGTAGTGCCACCCTGGGGACCAAACCTTTAACACATGGTCTTTGGGGGGAACACTCATCCAAACCATAGCACAGTTCAACCAAAACAATGTAGGAAGAATGATACAGTTAGAAAATCACCATTTTGAAACTGCCACAATAGTAACTGATTCAGGCAAGAATCATCAATGGATGCTAAAGCAAGTAGAAGAAAGTTTTATGGGAACAGTACATATACATAGCCTGAAATCTTGTTACACAAATTATTTATTAATTATAAGAATAAATATAGCCATTTTATATCAAAGAAATCTGGTAAAGAATTCTACCTTAACCAGTGACTAAAGTTAACAAGACCAATAATGGAACAAATCCAAACCACGTGCTTCCTACTCTGAAGTACTAAGAGGACACAAAATTACCTAATTAATAATTCTACCAAAAACCTAACCTGACCCTAATGATGAGTAAACATCCCAAATTGAATAAACATTCTATAAAATAACTGCCCTGAACTAATGAAAAGTATTCAGGACATGAGAGAGAAATGTCTGAACTATCCCAGATTGCAGACTGAAAAGATATTTCACCAAATGTAATGCATGGTTTAAGTCAGATACTGGACTGGGGGGAATTGTGTTTTAAAGGATGTGATAGAAACAATGGGTTAAATGTGAACAGTATTGTATCTACAGATCTTTCCAATTTCGATTATAGTGGTATGATTATATAAGTGAATGTCTTTGATCCAAGAAACACACACTGAAGTATTTTGGGACATGACCCTGATATCTACAACCCAATGACTCAGTGCTTCAGAAAAAAGTACAATGATAAAACAATCATGGAAAAAACTAGCAGATCTGAGTGAAGGGTATATGAGTTCTCTTGTACTATTCTTATTACTTTTCCATAAGTCAGAAATTATTTCAAAAGAAAAGTTTTGTTCCATATTTTTAATAGTGAATTATAGTTGTATATAATGATGGGATTTATTGTTACATATTCATACATGCACACAATATAACAATATAATTTGGCCAATTTCATTCACCAATGTCACCTTCTTCCCTCCTCTCCTCCTTCTGTTCTCTTTCTTTTTTAAATTTTTTTAACAGGATGATTTTTATATTTATTTTTTAGTTTTCGGAGGACACAACATTTTTGTTTGTATGTGGTGCTGAGGATCGAACCCGGGCCGCACGCATGCCAGGCTAGCTCACTACCACTTCAGCCACATCCCAGCCCCTCCTCCTGTTCTCTTTCCTCTACTGATTTCCCTTCAAGTTTCTTGAGATTCCCCCCTCTTTAAAATTTTAGTTTTTTTAAAAAGCTAATGAGGGGGCTGGGGATGTAGCTCAGTCAGTAAAGTGCTTGCCTTGCATGCACAAGGCGCTGGGTTCAATCCCCAGCACCACCAAAAAAAAGCTAATTAGGAATATATATATATATAAAAACACTTGACTAATCCAGAGAAGAGCAGATAAAGAATAAAGGATCAGGGCTGGGGTTGTAGCTTAGCAGTAGATGTGCTTGCCTAGCACGTGCAGGGTGCTAGGTTCCATCCTCAGCACCAAATAAAAATAAAATAAAGGTATTGTGTCCATCTACAACTAAAAAATATTTACAAAATATTTAAAAAAAAGAATAAAGGAACAAAATCAGATGGGCAAAGAGAAAACAAGTAGCAAGGTGGTAAGACTTAAATCAATTATATTAGTAGTTATATTACATCAGTAATTTTATCGGTTTATTTTTACTTAGTAAAATATCTGAGGCAGCTAACCTTATAAAGAGGTTTATTTATTTTATAGTTTTGGAAATCCAAGGATAAATCACCAGTATTGCTCTGCTCTCATGAGGACCCCATGGTTGATGTCGTCACAGTCACCAGGGCATCAGCGGGAAGATCACATCACCAGAAGAATGCCAGAGAGGCTAGTGTTCCATGATCTCTTCCAAGAGCACATGCTTTGCTCACCTGAAGTCCTCCCACTTGGCCCCACCTCAGTTTCCACACCATCATCATCACATTGAAGGTCAAGATTTCAACACATGAGCCTTGTGTATGTGTGTGTAAAAGGGTGGATGTACTGAAATATCCAAACCATAGCAGCAATTATAAAATAGTAAATCCAGTAATATTTGTAATTACATAAATAGTAAATGCTAATTACATTACTAATTAGTAAATAAGGCAAATGTAAGTAGAATAAATTTTCCAATTAAATGACAAAGATTATTAAACTATTAAAAATAAGACCCAACTATATTACTTATAAGAGATACATTTTTAAATATAGGATATGGATAAGTTGAAAAAGAAAGCATAAAAAATATATATTATACAAACATTAATCAAGAGGAATGAAGGAGTGGTCAACTATGTCAAAAGGTACAGAAAAATCTAACACGATAAACAAAGATACTTGACTTTGGCCCTAATCATATTATTATTGTGTCTTGGTTGAATGTCACTGCAACGAAGTATTGGAGATAAATGCCCAATTGGAGTGGGTGAGAGAATGAGAAATGAAGTTTGGGAAAGAGAATAAAGACACTTTGCTGTAAAAGGAAACACAAAAATCAGATGGTAGCTAGAGTAAGACTGGGGTCAAGAAATCTCATCAAATGTATCAGAAAAGAAGGCAGGATATATGAGCTTGAATACAAGGAGGACAATAGCTCCTATAGGTGTCAATGGAATGTATGAGAAGGGAAATTGTTAAGTAGATATTTGAGGATGAGGAGATCTTGGAAAAGGGGAATATAGCTGGAAAAGGTAATAGGATACTTGTGGTGAATGCTGTTTTAGCTTTCTATTACTGCAACAAATTCCTGAAGTAAATCGATTTACAAGGGAGGAAAAAGTTCATCTTTGTTCACAGTTTCAAAGGTTTCAGTCCATGTTGTTGGACCCTTTTGCTTTGGGAGCATGTAGCAGAGGAGGCCTATTCACCTCCTGGGAGCCCAAATGCAGAAAGAGAAGGAGAATGGCATCTCAAATTCCTTCAAGGACATACCCCCAGTGCCCTAACTTCCTCTTACTAGACCCCACCTCTTAAAGGTTCCACCACCTCCCAACAAAGCCACAGGCTGGCAATCAAGTCTTTTAACACATGGGCCTTGGGGAGATGCTTATCCAAATCATAGCAAATTCTAATCTGACTTTGTGATCATGAATTAGAATTGAGTCTAGTCAGCTCAATTGCAGGATTTTAGAGTTGGATTATTCCAGGCAAAGCAGAGGGGGAAAAGGAGCAAGGTATTAAGCAAGACTGTAGTAACAGTATTGAACAATGAAATCTAGACAAGAAAGAAAATAAGAATTCAGTTGTGGAATGCTCAGAGAAAAGTGGTAGGGTTAGAAGATTGGATGAAATCAGAGAATTGCAGGAATGAGGAAGAAGAGAAAGTGATTATGTCAGGAATAGGATATTTGATTTGAAATCAAATGTTGGGAGGAGTTGCAGTTATTGGTGATAATAACTTGGGTATGACCATATGATCTGATAGTTGGAGATGGGGAGAAAATGACTGAAGGTAGTCACTTAGAAACCAGAGTGATAAATCATCTGTGTGCAGGTTAAAGGTGCCAAGAATAATGAACAGGAATAATGGTAGATAGAGGTGATAAAATAATTAATCATTAAAGAGATGACCAGTCAGATGACAGAAATGAGGAAAATTATAGGCATGAAATTCTGAGGATAGTCCTTTAAAGGACAGAAAAAAGTTTGGGTAGATATATACACCAGTAACCCAAGAGGGTCAGTATGGAAATAGCCAATCACACATTGGCTTAATGCTTAAGAATGATTTAAATGTCTTTCCCCAACAGCATGTCCATGCAAAGGAGTCTTGCAGCTGGGCTGGTTTTGAGTTGGCTGAGCAAATCAGGGAGGAAAAAGAATGAGAGGATGTAAAATCAAAGTCACATGACTACACCAACAGAAACATCCTCAGTGAAGAACACTCGAATTTCTTTAGTTTATAAGGGAAGATGATGGGCTTGGTTTTCAGTATTTTGTACACTTTTTTTTTCACTTGTATTATTAAATTTGGGCTAATTTTTGGGGGGAGAGGTACGGAGAATGAACTCAGGGGCACTCAACTACTGAGCCACATCCTTAGCACTATTTTGTATTTTATTTAGAGACAGGGTCTCACTCTGAGTTGCTTAGCACCTTGTTGTTTCTGAGGCTGGCTTTGAATTCTCAATCCTCCTGCCTCAGCCTCCCAAACCGCTGGGATTACAGGCATAGGCCACCATGCCCAGCTAAATTTGGGCTAATTATTAACGTGCATTTTCCATTTTCACAAATATGTTGAAACTTCAGGGGAATTCACTGTAAAAAAGAACAAAACCATTTGCAACTGTTTATAAGACTTTGCTTCACTGTTAAATCTCACAGATGAATTTTGTATTCTACCAAATGGATAAGCATTTTCAGTATTTGTGATCTTGTACAAAATGAAAACTGTTGGAGACTATTTTCTTTCCTACTTCCAAGATAATCAGGAAGAAGTAGGAAGCTGTTTTGTTATCAGACAATGGAAGATATTTTGTCAAATACATAAAATATTCTGTGTTACCATACATGAAAGGCTGTTGTAATAAGACATAGTGATTATTCCCATGAAACTCTTACAATGATACTCTCTCTCTTAAAGGACTTCCAGGTTTTTTTTCCAAATAGAAAATAAGCAGTATTTGAGTACTAATGCTTTTATTCACATTTTACAGGAAAGGAAACAAACAACATGAACAATTTATCTGCTATCAGAGAAAATATTTTATAACCCAAAATAAATGTTTACTCACTAACAGTTGTAAATTGCTTAAACTGGAGATTTCAGAGGAATTTTTCACAGTAAATAAAATGATTACTAAATTCTTCAGTTACAGAACATTCAAGGCATGTGTTTTTCTACACAGCTTAACTGAAATGTAGTTTAACCAATGGTTTACAATTTAGTCAAATAACAAAGCTGCAAACCACTGAGGGAGTCATAAATTATATCCTTTGCACTTTCAAAAAGCTTTCAGCTGGTATTGATCATTTGTTTTTATTTTCGAAGCATAACAGCTTTAACATAATTATATTCATTAGTCTGACACCTAGAAAGCAATGAGCATTGATTTGTACAATGAACAAATGAGCAAGTTTTCTTGTGTTCTTGAATTATAATTCCTTCATTTGAGTATATTCAATTTATTCACATAACATTAGGTTCATTTTACATGACTGGGACACTTAGAATTTAGTTAACAAGGGGTAGGAAATCTCCAACATTGTAATAATAGACCAAGTGATGCCCACCTACAGCCAAAAGCGTCCGATGGGGAAGTATATAATTCTTTGCTTTCAGAGTTGATAAAGAGGCACATGATCATTGTATGGGTGTTTAGGAGAAAGGAGAAACAGACTCCCCTCACTGCAATAAAAAATAGATATTTCAAAAATTTCTAATGTTTCTTCCAACTAATGTTTCTTCCGTATTAGCTCTAAAGAGACTCTAGGTTTTGAGTTCATCCTTTTCGCAGGTGACCCATTCTATCCTTGGATGACTTTAATTCCTACAGAAATCATTTTCCTGAGCCAGAATTCGCCTCCCCCAACTTCATTCTGTAGGCCTCACTTGTCTGCTCTGGAGACCTCTAGGCCAGTTACCACCTCCTTCTTCAGCCAGTCAGGACCGCACCAGTCCACTGGGCAGTGCCAGATCCACTTCTCCTCCTCCTCCTCCAGGACACACAGCACAACCCACAGTCTGCAGCTCTGGGACACCGGGCACCTCGAAGCCATACAGCCGCCGGGTCCCAATCCACGAGGCGTGGAGCCCTCAGTTTGTGTGGCTTTAAAATTTTATTTCAGCTAAGGAATCGCTGCATAACACCGTATCATAACAAACGTGAAAACATTTTCGGGGAGATGTTGGGAACACTGGTGAGTACATTTCACGAGGGACAAAATGTGTGACATTCCTGGAGGCCAAGGGTGCAGAGCCGCTCCGTGACTGTGAACCCGGGCTGCGTCCGCGTCCTTCGGTGCCCAGGAGACGCCGACGCAGGGGTCTGACAAGGCGTCAGGTTCCGGGACCCACGGCCCGGCCCCAGCGTCCCCGGCCGGGAGCCCACGCGGGCCGGGCGCCGGGGGCGGGCGGATGACGGCGTGGGGGCGTGGGTCTGCGAGGCGGCGGGTCCGAGCGTCGCTGGCACGGGGCGGGCTCCCTCGCTGGCCGGCAGGCGCGGCGCGCGGAGCAGGGGGCTGGCGCGGGGATGGCGCACCCGGGGGTAAGCGGCGCGGGCGGCGTCACAGGCACTCGCAGCCCGCCGCGCAGCAGCCCGGCAGGCACACGCACACGTGCACGCGCGCCCCGCACCCGACCTCCTCGCGGCCCCGGGCTCGGGGCGGCGGCGGCGGCAGGGGTCGGGGGCGCGGGGGCCGGCGCCGGGCGGGGCCCCGGGGACCCCGCGGGCGGCGGGCGGGCGGGGAGGGCGCTCGGGGGCCGGTCCGCGCGGCACCCATTCTCGGGAAAGGCCTCACGGTCTGCGGTGCGGCGCGGGGCGCCCGCGGGCTCCAGACGCCGCGGGCGGGACGCTGGCGCGGGGCGCTGGGCGCCGGCGGGCTCCTCCGGCGGGCGCTGAGCGCGGCCTGTCCCACAGGTCTGGATGCTCGTGGCTGGCTTCCTGTTGGCGCTGTCACCAGGCCGGGCGGCGGGCGCTCTGAGGGCGGGCAGGCGCCCGGCGCGGCCGCGGGGCTGTGCGGACCGGCCTGAGGAGCTCCTGGAGCAGCTGTACGGGCGGCTGGCGGCGGGCGTGCTCAGCGCCTTTCACCACACGCTGCAGCTGGGGCCCCGCGAGCAGGCGCGCAACGCGAGCTGCCCGGCAGGGGGCAGGCCCGCGGACCGCCGCTTCCGGCCACCCACCAACCTGCGCAGCGTGTCACCCTGGGCATACAGGTGAGCCGGGCCGAGTTGAGCGAGAGGGTTGGGGCGGGATCGGGTCTTGCGGGAGCAGGTGGGGCGGGGCAGGGTGGGACAGGTGGGGCGGGGCCAAGCCTGGTGGGAGACAGGTAGGGAGGGGCGGGGCCACACCGGACAGGACTGATGGGGCAGGTCAGGGGGCTGATGCGGAGCTGGTGGAACAGCGGGGTTCAGAGCAAGTCATTTCTACAAAGGCCTACCACACTTCCTTGTAGAAATCCTGCTTCGCCTTGTTTTCTCTTACATTATTTCTTATGCATCATATATTTTGAGCACCTATTCTTTGTCAAGTACGTAGTTAAATGGGTTCCATGAAGAACCAACCCCAGGGATCCTTTATTAATTTGGGGTTCTTCATAGGAGACCTGTTGAAGTTGGAATGTGGAAGTCTGCAGACATTTCTTGAGAGCCTGTGTGATCTCCGCTGCTTGACATTGAGCCCTGAGAGGTACCCTCTCAGAGCCATTTAGCTTACAGTCTCGGGGAGTAGAAGAAATAACTGGGAAGGAAATCATAATACAAGGCAGAAAGTTTCAAATGCATGGTGGTTTAAAGGTGGGTGTGGGGGAGTTGCATTTTGGGGAATGAAAATGGCCCTCAAAATGAAGAATGAGCAAGATTCTGAGACTGACCTAGAAAAGAAATCTGTTACAGTTTGGATCTAGATGGTCCCCTGAAGATCATGTTTTGAAGACTTTGTCCCCAGTGCAGCAATGTCCTGAGGTGGAGCTTTGGTCCTGGGAAGTGACTGGATCATGAGGGTTCCAACTTCATTAGTGGATTAGTCCATTGGTGGCTAATGGCCCCTTTCTCAGTCTCTTTTCACTTCCTGGCTGCCATGAGCCGAGCAGTTTTCCTCTGCTGCATCTACCCTTCCATCATGATGTTCTGCCTTACCTCAGGCCCAAAGCAATGGAGATAACCATGGACCTAAACCTCTGAACCGGAACCAAAATAATCCTTTCTTCCTTATTATATCAGGTATTTTGGTCACATCAACAAAAAAGTGATTAACACTAGGTCATTTTGGAAGAAAGGAAGAATATGCTTAAAAGGAAGGCTGAGGAATGTTGGGAATGGGCAGTGAGGTTGGGCTAGGGTGTTCTCTGCAGACTGGAGTGATGTCCCCTGGCCTCTAGAGGAGGGGCTCCCAGTATGGCAGGAGAAGACAAGAACAGACCTAAAGAGGGAGCTCTCACACTGTCCAGAAAGAGCTGCATCTTGGTTGATGAGAAACCAAGTGATGAGGTGGTTTGAAGGGAAGGACTGCTTATGGCAAGAGAAAGAAAAAGCATGGTGTCCACAGAGAGCCTAGCTCTCTGAGGAGCAGGGTGAGTGTGTCATGGGGAGGCTGTGCTCAACACTTAAGCAGTGTTCAATGCTTGAAACTTACCTAGTAGAATGTTTTGTTCTGTGGTGCTGGGGATCAAACCCAGGGTCTTATACATGCTAGGCAAGTGTTCTACCACTGAGCTACACCCCCAGCCATGTAAAAATACTTTGGATCAACAAAGACATGTAGCCACTGTGTTCTAGAAAGATACATTAGCTTTCCATTACTTTAATACCTGAGATAATCAACTTATATAGAGAAAAGCATTGGGGCTGGGGCTGTAGTTCAGTGGCAGTGTGCTTGCCTAGCACGCATGAGCACTGGGTCTGATTCTTAGCACCACATAAAGACAAATAAAATAAAGGCATGCTGTCCATCTACAACTACAAAAAAAGAAAAGAAAAGAAGTGTTATTCTGGCTCATGGTTTTAGATTAGATGGATGTTCCAGTCCTTGGTTAGGCAGACACAAGGTTTTTAGACTTCTGGTTGGGGTGTGGCAGTATGGCCAAGCAAAACCACTCACCTTGTGGCTGGAAAGCAAAAAAAAAAAAGGGGGGGGGGKTCCAAAATTATCTTTGAGGGTACCTCCCCAATGACCTAAAGAACTTTCCCTAGGGGCATGGGAAGTATGGAGGAGCTTTGGATTGGTCAAAGGGGAGGGGTTATGAGGATAGAAAAGATGGTGGAATGAGATGGACATCATCACCCTAGGTATATGTATGACTGCATGAATAGTGTGTCTCTACCCTATGGACAACCAGAGAATTGAAATATTTCACTCCATTTGTGTACAGTGAATTGAAATGCATTCTGCTGTCATGTACAACTAAGTAGAACAAATAAAAATTTTTAAAAGAAGAACAAATTTTAAAAAAAATTTTTTTAAAGAAAGAAACCCTCCCTAGACTCCGCCTCTTAAAGGCTTGACTACCTCCCTTGGGAGCAAGTCTTTATCACATGGACCTTTGAGGAACTGTTAAGATCCAAATTATAGCAGCTGTCTCCATGAGGAATAGAGAGGGAGATACTAGATAGACACGCTGCAGTGCTTTTGGCAGAAGGCAGTGAGATTCTCAACTTGCAAAGGAAAAAGGAACACTGCAGTTTCCCTTTCACACTCAAATGTGAAAGGTCCTGATTAAAGAAGGAGACGTGACTGGGTTCAAGGGTGATTCATTCTACTTGAGAATGAGGGAAAAGAGGTATAAAATGGGCTTTCTCCTATACCTACACCTGCTGTTAAATGAGGTGGGTGGTTTGCTTTTACTTAATACCACAGGCTGCCCTGGGATGCTAAAATTTAGGGCCTCCTTCTACCTGGCTCCTCTGCAGAAGACTAAGGCCTTCACAGAACCCCTGTCCACATGTGAGTTAGGCCCATAACCCCTTCTGCCCACATCTTGTCATTCATTTCATTCCTTCAGGACACATGTCAGCCCATTCTTTCTGGTGGCTCCCTCTCTTGCTTTTCCTCTCTTACCACCACTTCCAAGTCCCAAAAGTATCAGCTAATCTGTTATCCTTCTCTTTCCAACCTCATATTATGCTTCTGATGTGCTAAATAGAATTGAGAGAAAATCTCTTGAGACAATAGTCTGACTTCTCTGCACAGAAGCTGCTGCCTTTGCATCCTTCTATAATAAATTCTAGTCTCTCCAGGCAAAAGGATGCCTGAGTTGGGCTGAAGGTCCTGTGGGTCAAAAGATATCCCTAACACACAGCAGGGAGTCTCAAGCTCTGTTAGCTGTGTTTGCCRTGTTTGTAGCTTGAGTTGTCAATGTTAGTCCCCTTTCTATTACTGTGACAAAACACCAGAGAAATTATCTCTTTTTTTAAACTTTTTATTTATTTATATGGTGCTGAGGATTGAACCCAGGTACTTGTATATGCAAGGCAAGCGCTCTACCACTGAGCTACAACCCCAGCCCCCTGAGAAATTATCTTGAAAGAAGAAAATAGTTATTTTGGCTAATGGTTTCAGAGGTTTCAGTCCACTGTTGATTAGCCTCATCATTTTGGGCCCATGGCAAGGAAAAAAACAACAACATGATAAAGAGCATGTGGTGGAGCAAAGCTATTCACCTTATCATGGTCAGGAAGCAGAGAAAGAGCTGGCTTTTATAACAAAAGCTCCTCTTCCCAAATCCTTTAAGTGAGGAATCCCTAAATGGATTAATCCATTTATGAAGTCAAAGCCCCCATGACCCCGTGATCTCTGAAAGGACCCACGTGGGAACACTGCTGCATTTGAGACCAAACCTTCAACACATGAGCCTTTTGCCAACATTTAAATCCAAACTATAATATTCTGTCCCTGGACTCCAAGGGTTCCACAGGCTGCCCTGGGATGCTAAAATTTAGGGCCTCCTTCTACCTGGCTACTCACCTGTCCATCTCACAATTCAAAACACAACCAGTCGTCGATCTCTAAGAGTCCTCATAGACTTAACAGTTCCAACATTACTCAAAAGTCCAAGTCCAAAGTCTCCTCCATGACTTCAGGCAAACTTTTAGCTGTGAGCACCTCTAAAAATGATAATAATCAAGTTACATACTTCTAATATACAATGGTGAGGCTGATAGAGGGTAAATATTCTCTTTCCAAAAGAGGGGAATGGAACATGGAAAGAAGAGGATGTGACCAAAGAAAGACTGAAACCCAGCAAGGAAAACATTAAATCATATAGCTCCATCTCCTGCATCTGGGGAATATGGTAGCATTATGTGAGTTCTGTGGACTTGGGTAGCCCCACCCCTACAGCTTTGCTGTCTGCAGCCCACATGGTGTTTTTCTTAGACTGACTCTACTTGCTGCCTACAACTTTCCTTTCCACATGTTCCACATTTCTGATATCTTAAACTTCCTACAGCCTTGATGTCAGCATTGTCTTCACTCTTACAGCTTTATGCATGTCCTACCAGGGCCTGCCTGTAGGAACTCTGAATCTGCCACACACTTTCTGGCTTGCTAAACTTTCCTTTGAAAACTCAGTGGAAGCCTCTGTGATCCTGTAACGCTTGCATTCTGCATGCCTGCAAAACCAGCACAACGTAGATAACATCAAGGTCAGCTGCCAGCAGCAGCACTAGCTGGCCCCATGGCTACAGAGACCTTGGAGTGCCTAGATGGCTGAACACAGGGAAGCTCATTTTTAGATGGTCCTGTGGGAGCTGGGCTCCCTGGAACTCTTCTTCAAGCAAAGTCCTTCAAGTGATTTACACTTTTACACCCTTGAGCCTTCAAAGGGCAGGTTTTTGCTGACTCCCCAAATGCCCTCCAATTGTCCTGGAGCCAAGTACTTGGCTTCTTTTAAATGATGCTACTGTTTTTAACAACCGCACCCTTCTTGGCTACTTCTCACTTCTTTTTTGGCCAAGTTACAAGTTTTTCTAATCTTTCTGCTCTATTTCTTGTTATAAATATTGCTAAAACTAGCCAGTAATATCCATGTCACTGCTTGAATGCTGTGCTGCCTTGAAATATCTTCTGCCAGATTAATTACTTTTAATCTGAGCCTGACACAAACTCTCTCAGGGCATGGACAAAATATAGATAAATTCTTTGCTAGAATATAACATGTGAATGGCCTCAGTTCTCATTACCATCTGAAACCTCATGAGCTCAGCCTTTACTGTCTGCA